TACCATCCACCTGGCTGGTTGGAATTAGTACAGCCTACTAGAAATGTGTCATACACAGCGCCCACTAACAAGACCTTAACAAGCAACCCACACACCTCTGTCTCTGCAGTGACAGCCCACACCCACCCTATCTTTTTCTCTCTTTCAGATGAGATTCCATCATGATACACACACACAGGGTGAGGTATAATCAGGGACAGAGTGAGTGGACAAGGTCACGGTTATTAACCAGAAGGCAGCAGCTGAAGGATAGCTGTCACGAAAGCACCATGGGAGACCCTTGACACTCATACTAAAGAGAGCTGCATTCTTCATATGGAGCCCCACAGCTTCAAACCATCCATAGATAGCAGTTTTCCTGGAAACACTTTTGAGATAACATATCTACAGTATGAGAGTGGCAGATGGAATAGCACAGTGGTGAGGTATTTAAGCTCACTAGAAAATGGCATTCAGTGTGTCTTGCTTCTGTTACGTGACATACATCTAGGATACAGCTGAAATCTCAGAAAAAGAAACAGTTTTTTGAGGGCTGTCAACCATGTTTAGCATGTGTCCAACTATGATGTCAAATTAAGCAGTATACTGCAATACTGCTCAGGTTTTTGGAAGTGTCTAGCGTAAACAGTTGTATAATTTTCCAGGAACTTAAAGTGATAGAAAAAAAGACATCAAATGCTAAGCAAAAAATGAAATGTAAATACATCAGGCACAGAAATTATTATGACATAAATACTTACCTAACCTGATGAAGAAATAATATTAGCCCTCTACTGGACTCTATTAATAGTCCTCTCCTTAAATCACGACCACAAACACGCATGTACCCACTGCTATTTGCAGTGAGGACGTGCCTACCTGAATACATGTAGAGCCCACAGTGTATAAAGCAGGACACACTGCTGTCTGCTATCCTACAACCAATTCAGTGAACAGTGTAGGAGCGACAAGGCCCCTTGATAAAGGGCTCCGCCTCTGCTAAAAGAACTAGGGTTACAATAACCTTTGTTCTATCTCACACATGCTCCACCCGCTACTGGAGTATATGGGTAGAGTTGGTGGAGCCTGGTGAATAAACGCACTGCCATGACATAACATAGACCCAGCCACACGGATCCAGACCAGCTAAAAGTTAGACACCGCAACCCACCAACTTCTTTACATCCTAAGCTGCCACAGCGGAGAAGTAGAGGGTCCCAGCAACCCAGGAGGTAAGCAACTGAACATGGTGGAGCTATGTATTTGCCCTGCAGGGGTCGAAAGACAAGCAATAGAGAATCCTGTACACCACATTCCCTGAGTCAAGTGTCTCAAGTATGGAGACACGTGGGTGTATCATGCCCAAGGAGGGAGTCAGGTCATTCCAGTGAGCACAGACCCTGGAAAGGAGTCTGACACGTCCAAGAGATACAACCAAATGAGGCATAGATCACAACCCTACCGAACATATGCCCTCAATACCTGCTGAACAGGGCTGCTGATACTGCCACAATGCATGTTGAACATGCATGGATTGCTGCAGTGGTCACTAGTGGGAAGCCCTAGTGCAGAGATGTCGGCGATGGATTCCCATAGGACACTGATGTACCTGACCCAGATGAGATGTTGTTGTCATCATCTCCAAATAAGCTATTTTCTCAACAGAGGGTTGGCGGTTGGAGCGGGAGTCTTGACTTCATTGTTCTTGTATTCTCGCTTACTTATATTGCAGGAAAGCATCACATATAATTATTTGAAGTGATACCACCAATGCTGGTGTCCACGCTTGGGCAGCTTCCAGCAGGCCTCACAGGCTGGTGGCTACTGAACGCCAGTCTCTGTTTGGTCTGTGCCAAGGCACTCGAAGTAGTAGTCCTGAAGGTTGGTGCTGGTGAAGAGGGACACGACGGGCACTAATGCAGCTCCTGAAGCCGCGACTCCATCTGTAGAGAGAGCAGATCCGTGGGCGAACTGTTGGCTGAAGAGAAAAGGATAACAGACAGCAGTGTGTCCTGTCTTATATACTGTGGGGTCTGTACGAATTCAGGTAGGCATGACCTGATTGGGCGGCTACGCCTATGCAGATTTCAGTGGGTGAACTTGTGCTTGTGATTGGAGGAAAATATTATCTTTAGAGTCCAGGAGAGGGCAGAGCCTTTGTAAGATAGAACAGGGTGGTCCTGTGCCTTGACGATATTAGTATTTGATACAACAATGTACAGCAGAACTTCATGAACTTCACTCTTAGCTGAACAGGCAAACTATAGCAAACCATTTAACTGATTACAGTCTCTTTCAAGTGACTCTGTTTTGATGAAAGGTACTTGATATGGTACATTTTGTTTCTGCACAGATACAGTAGATTAAATTGGTGAAGCATGTGATGAAACTGGCTATGGCACCTGAATGTAATATCCATGAAGCACGAGGCAATATCAGATTCAGTTGTTTATCAGCTTCAGTCCTGCGTGTTATAAGATAGCAAGACAGTTTCTTCCAGTCCTCTCATGGGATTTGTCCTCTGCGACTAACCTGGAAAAGGTCCATCCATGCCTTCATGGATTATGTATCATCATCATCATCATCATCATCATCATCATCATCATCGTCGTCGTCGTGTATTTCTACCCTCTTACAAGCTGGGGTAGAAATGACAGCCAGTCAGTAAGTTGCTGCTCTAATTTCCCTAAGTACTACATATATTTCAAAGGAGGTTTGACTTTGTCAAGTGAAGGCCCCCCAACCTTGAAGAACCCACTCCTCTTAATAAGAGTTTACCTTTAAATCTATTTTTAATGAAAACTCCCTTTGTGACATCAATAGGCAGAATAAACAAATAGGCATAGCCATGGTGATTTCACCCATTGGTTTGCTTACTCTCATTTTACAGCACTGGGTTTGGTGTTTTGGCTGATTTGTGGAGCCAGAAGTGATCATATTTGGATGAGAAGGTCGAGCTAACCCAAGCTGCTACTTTGGTTAGCACGGTGTATTTACAGCTATAGTTTACTGTGATAGTGCTAATGCTAGTTTTCGCTGGCAAAAAAACCTGAACATTTAAACAAAATGTACTTACTATAGACTGTATATAAAGATGGAAGACATGTCTCCACTCTCCACTTCCCCCCACTGTACAGAAGTGAAGCTAAAATATCCCAGATATGGCCGCTGCCATCTTGCTCTGGTGACATCATTCGAAGCCAGAAACTGGGCAGTAGTGATCTCTGCATTATCAAGTTTGCTGCCCAAACACCTGTGCGACCCATCATGAGCAGTGCCACTGAATGTGACCCCACCGATTGGCTCACACAGTTGTCATTCATGTTGTAAATTCCCTGTTTTACAACATTAGATAACTAATTAAAACCAAATTCATCAGAAAAATGAATGCTTGAACACACAGCAGTGTGATAAAAACTATCTTAAATGACAGAAACCATCTTTGGGGAAAATGCATTTGATGTGTCCCTTGAGTTTTTAATTTGCCCTGTGTCCCATCCACTAACATGGAGAGGGCGGGCTTTATGACCTGTACTGCAGCCAGCCACCAGGGGGCAATCAAGATGTTTCGGCTTCACTTTTGGGGAGCTGTCATTTCATCCATCTTTATATACAGTCAAGAGTACTCCTCAGAGAGTCTTTGAGTACAACCAAATGCTGAACAAGACTTTTTTTAGGTGACCAAAATGTTACATTTAAGTTGGGCACGTTAGCAGCATCTTAAAATGGGACTCTACGTGGATTGACTTGCTCTTGGAGCCAGCCTCAAGTGGCAGTTTGAGAAAGTGCAGTTTTTGGCACTTCTGCATGGGCTTCATTTTACAGCCCTGGCAGTTGCCGCTTGATGACATGCCCTTACTTGATTCCTCTCTGTACATCATAAATATTTTCATTTATTTCTTTTTACTAGCTCTTACAGCAACACACATGTGATAACCTCAGGGGAAATCTTGTTCTGATTCTGTCCAGAATTGGTTTAACATAGATTCAACACATAACACAAAAAATGTCAATCACAATTTGAAACCCTATAACGTATTTGTTTTTATGGCTGGAATATTGCGCACTGTAAATGGGATATGGCTGACAGCGTTTCACAGTAAGCTCCCTTCCTCCTGGTGGTTATGAAAATACAGTTACTCTGAGTTTGTGCTTACTGCAGCTTTGAGTTCATCATGAAAACAGTATACCCTATAATGTATGCAGCCTGAAGGATATAGTCTATGCATGTGATAATCAGTGAAAGGCATTTTATCCCAGCAATAAAATCACTACCAGAGCTGTTCTGTCACCAACACATGGGGCATGTTACATCTCTACAGTCTATGAGAAAAGGAGTATCAGGAGTATCTGCTCCTAATTTAACACACCCCTGGATGTGTAAGGACCTCATCAAACTTATAATCACTGCCTGTCTAGGTGCAAAATAAAGGCACACACTGTACCCATCCATCAGTACCTCAAAGTTCACTGTGAATCCTACAGTCTATTGCTCACTGACAACTTGCCAAATTCGGAGCAACACATTTGAATGCCTCCAATCCAGTGCATAGTCTAAAATTAAATTGATTGCTCACTGCAAAGGGAGCCATTGCAAATGTGTGCAGTGATAAGGTATTTCCAAGTTTTTTTTCCCCCAAACTGCTTTAGAGTAGTTGCTAATTTGGCAAAGGTTCATTTCCGAGCTGTGCCTACAGGCATTCATAATCTGCTCACACAAACCCCTTTCTTGCCTCTTTCAGAAATTCACCCGACTGTCTTTTTATGGTTTGCAATTCTTACACTTATCTTGAACAGAAATAGAACTGACATGCTACAAAATACATCACAGCTTTAACAATATAACTCAAGCTCTGTTTAAATTTTAATTTTCATATTTTATTGTTTCACAGATTTTGCAGTTGTCCACCATGTGGAACTGAAGTCAGACAGTGTTTTTTTCTTCTTATATTTCCTAAAATTAAGAAAAAAATATTGTAATGCACACAGAAATGGAACTGGCAGAGATCAACAATGGTTGTTTTTTTTAATGGAATAATATTTATTGATAACATTTAACATATTTTTCTTACAGATACTTTGTCTAGAAATCAACTGTCACTGCACATCAACTGACAGAACGACACATCTTATTCCCAAAAATAGAAACAGAAACAAACAAACAAGGAGAAGATATCCCACCAAACCATGACCTCATGCACCAATTCACCACCAAATTAAAAAAACAGTATGGCAGTTCAACTGGTTGTAAGTAAATTGTGCAAATACAGACTCACCTCATTAAAACAAGTAACAAGACTATGTAGAAAACAGTAACTACTGTATAAACCCAGGGATAGCACAGACTTAAAATGTCTGCATATACGCCTGTTGTTTTTCTTATGGAACATTATAGAAAAGAAAACATCCATCTTTGCGGTCATTCAACATGCAACTGATCCAACTGAGCAGAGCTCAAGACAGTTTGTGTCTCTCATTTCCACAGTAGTTATTCGATGTCTGCATTCTTCTTTTAGAACCATATATGCGCATCACTCAGCAGCACAACTGTCCAAAGGTAGAGCCAAGGCTTCCGGTTGATTGGTGCTCTTATATGTGTGTTGCTTAAGTGTTGCTCAAGGCTACGGAGAAGGAGGTGTCTTCAGAGAATTACAGGATCCTCCCTGGCTACTACCTGTGGTCCCCTGGTACTGCAAGGACGAGTCAAGCAGAAACAATGCAACTATAGTTAGAAAACCCTCCGTCACGCAGTCGTAGAAACAGATGTACAGTCATATCAAATAAAGCCAGAGCCAAATTTTCAAAATCCCAGCTTTTCACCTTGGAACCTCCAAACAAATGTACTAACCACCTACAGAGTTATGAATTGGGCAGTAAAACAAACAGTGAATGTCTCCCGTTTTATTTTTAGTTTTTGTCAAGTCAGAGTATTTATGCGTTCGCTCAGTTTTATTGGAGTAGACTGCACTTCTGTGACTGTTTCATTTGCCAACTGCAAGCAAAAAGATAAAAGATTTACAGACAAAGTGGCTTACTTGGCAAAAAAAAATTTAAATAGACATGCATTTGAAATCTATGGGCGTCTTTGAACTGCAGAGCTTCACAGAGTCGTGAGGGGCGTGAGGATGAGGATGAGGGGTTTGTAAAGACAAAACAACTTTGACTAAAAAGGAAGTTGGAGGAAGTAAATAATAAGGGTTAATTGAGGCTAAGTACAACAAACTGTAATAGCACCCGAAAGAATCGTAGGCTCAATCTCCAGTTTTCTCTGGCTCTCACTTTGTATTTTGCAAGCAACGGACCTTTGATGTGCACAAAAATACACACAATAAAGCAATTTTTCCAGGCTGACTGCACAGGTCAGAGATGCCATCCTTCAACTTCTCAGCAAGACTTCCTCCTCTCTGCTGTCAGAGTACTGGTTCTGTAGTCTCTCTTAGCTCTCTGCCTCATCCACTCTTTTATTGTCCCAGTAAATCTTATAAAGAGTAGATATTTGGGTAATTTTATTTGATTTATTTACCACATACTGCTCACAGAGAGCTCAGCAGCTTTTGTATGGAATCACATGTAACCCCACATGCCTGGGGCTGAATCATATCAGAGCTTGTCTACTTTGTTCCCCTCGGTAGTTTCCCACTGCTCTATCTAGAAACAGAAAAAAGTACAAGACTGAGTGAACTGACACTCTCAAAGACAAGGGATCTGTCCTGTGTAGCAACCTGTCAGACGAGTACATTACAAAAATATCTATGGGTTTAAACCTGGCTTTTTGGTCTCGAAGAGGGGTTGACAACCTTTACTATCAAAAGAGACATTTTTGGCCGAAAAAACCCAGGGTGGGGGGTTCGAACCCAGGGTGGCGAGCCCTTCTGTGCAGATTTTGCATGTTCTCCCTGTGTCAGTGTGGGTTTTCTCCGGGTACTCCAGCTTCCTCCCACAGTCCAAAGACATGCAGATTAATTGGTGACTCTAAATTGCCCGTAGGTGTGAATGTGAGTGTGAATGGTTGTCTGTCTCTATGTGTCAGCCCTGCGACAGTCTGGCGACCTGTCCAAGGTGTACCCTGCCTCTCGCCCAATGTCAGCTGGGATAGGCTCCAGCCCCCCCTTCAGTCGAATTTAGCCTTTTAGCATTACTAATAGGTCTAAATAAGCATTCATTAATATGTTCTAGCACAAGAATGCTGTTGTGCAGTGGGCTATTTTTGATTATTTGGTACTTTAACTTTCTTGTGTTGCCGATAAAAGCAAACAAATTTGCCCACGCACTATTGAATTCTCTATTTTCCTAAGATATTTTTCCCTTTTTGGATTTGGAATCCACAGCTAGCCTACCTAGGGAGACTCAAGACTACTGTAGCTATTGCTAGTGATGTTTTGAGAGGAAGAGGTGATAGGACAGACGTATGATGCACATTTAGTTGAAGAACTGTTCAAACAGTTTTTAAAAAACAGTGCATAGGATACGCATTTTTACAGTTGAAGAATGTAAGAATCACTTTAGGCCTACAGCCATTAATGAAAACTGAGTTGCTAAAAGATAATGGTTATTCATATCCATATAATTTTCTGTCAAAGCCACACAAAGAGAGGAGCTAAAGAGTTGCAGGTTGCCTACCCCTGGTCTAGGAAAAGCACAGTTTTAAAGTAGGTACTGATCACCATTGTGGTAACTTTGGCAAGATGTGAGATTATGATTATGTGATTATCTTTTTTCTGCCATCAGAATCAGATTGATCATATCATACTGACATGATACAACACGGTATCATCTTCTGTGGACTTATGAAGGTAAGCATTCTTTTCAGTGAAGACTGTTGAATCAGATGTGTAATGGCCGCATTCCAAATCACATACCTTTTCTTTTTACTTTTTGTAGGTACTGCATCTGCGCTTACAAAGTACATACTGTTGCATACAGTATGCATCCAAGTAGGACATACTACTTCATCATAACATTGCATGCTGAACTTTGACCCTCTTGCTTTTCCATTGCAGTTGAGGCAAGTAAAAAAAAAAATGAGTACAGGATGCAGTGGATCTTAACGTTACCTTGAAAATTAAACAAAACGCTGTTTTACGAGCTCACCACTGAAGAAGGTCAACCCAGAGAGCTCTGCTGTAGCCTGTTGCCATGTATGTAGTTTTAACTTTGAAGTATTACCTACATACATTGAAGATTCTATATAACATGTGTTTCTCTGTCCTGGTTATTTTCATAGCTGTGTCCTTTTGTTGTTCGTTATCTATTTGATTGTTTTGTCCATTTAATAATTCCTATTCCTATTCTATTATTACTATCTATATTCTGCTGGTCAATAGTCACTTGAATGCGCTGTCATCCGTCACTACGGCTTCTCACAGCTGTCAAAATGAGTTGTCAATACGATGTCAAGCTGTCATCTGTTTGCGGCTCAGTTGATGTGACGTATATTCTGCTGCACAGAGGATTGTGGGGCAGAATAGCCTGAAAAGCATGCTGGCTATTACACTGCAAAATGCAACATCCTCTGCTGTAGGACATCCTGGTATTTTTGTTAAGATACACTGTGGTGATAAAGAAAATGGCTCCTATCAAGAGACGGATTTTCCTGTCTATCTTTTTTTATACTTTCTTTGGATGTTAAGTAGCTTGCAGTCATATTTCTATTGTGGCTGACCAGATATCTTTTCACAGCCTCATTGTAACAACACACTACTGTATCAGTGCATACTAATGAGCCCACTGTGCCTTAATGACTGAGCAGTGATAAGCTTATTCACTTATTCATTTACACTTGCCGCAGCTTTCCATCCAGGAGGCCTCACCAGCCTTGCTGTAAAATCTTTTGTTTTGCTCATACATTTTTTTTTTTAACATAAAGTGTTTTTCGTAAATGTCAGTAATCCATTTAATTAGCCTTTAGTAATCATCTTTTTCCTTTGCTGCCATACGATGTTTTATATTTGTTGGCGACATACTATTATATATTGTGTATACAATCTGTTTTGCTTCATCCACTGAATCTCCTTACTACTGCTAAGTAATACTTTATCTTATATAACACTGTTTGTGGAGATCTACATTTTGCACATAAATTGCTTTTTAACAAAATCTGCCTCCAAAAGCCCAGAAAATATTAACATTATTAAATCTGACATTCACTATTTCTTGACTGGAGGAGCTTGTTGAATTGGACGCAGGTCTGAGGGTGTGTTAACAGCAGAAAATAACCATCTGCCAAATTTCATTTCATTTGTTCAGTGTAAGACTTAATATTTGGTCGCTAACAGCATATTCCTGCCTGACGGCCTTAATGTGAAAGCGACTTTTTGATAGTGTTAGTGGAAAGTTATCCTTTTTGAGAACAGAAATGTGTTCATTTCCAAAATGTGGTCAGTCCTTGTGCATGCATGGGAACACATGTCACAACCATCACAGAAAAGTCACCTCACCTCAACGAGAGGATGCCAGCGGGCGACAGGTTTTCGGGGACATGTGAGCATTTCACTCCAGTGGTCTCGACCGAGGCTGTCTCCATCATTGCCAACCCGACACACACCGATGACCTCATTATGGCCTACACTGTAGGTGCGGGAGGGAGAGAGAAAGGGAGAAAAAATGTGATCACGACCTACCAGTGCATTCCAAAAATACTGATGCATTACATCTTGAGTGTGAAAACTGAAACTGTCAAACTATTAATGTGACAGAAACAAAGAGTCACAGTTTACAGATTCCTCAGAAATGCAAAATACTGTTTGACTTATATAGTCTTGTTCCTAACCGGTCATAGTCCATCACTGCAATCAAAAGGCTGATCTGCTCTATATTTTCTGGAGGGACATCAAAGACGATAGCCTCATTATAGACCGGATTCAAAGTGTTCCTCTTCGTCGACGTCTTCCTCTTCTTCAGCCTGCGACCATCACACATTAATGAAACCTTCACATATGGATCTACGAAAGTGAGAGACACAGAAGGGGAAGACAGTCATTTTCATTCAGGATACCAGGGAGACTCTGCAGGTGTAGACGCTATCAGGTTTTAATTACCAGATGCACCAGTGATATCCATGGCCTTGAGATTGCGAGCCTTTATCATGGTGATGGTCAATCTGCCTGCAGTCGGCAAGTAACAGAGTGAAAACATCAGATCCCCGAGGTCCACGTTATCCTGAAAGACAACACACACAAAACAAGTTTACTCCACTGATATTAAATGATATATTACTAATTCTTGTTACTTTATATTGATAAAAACAGCTTTACAGTCACTCTTTAATGATATTAATGACATTGTTTGTAGTATGGCTGCTTTTCATTACTACACACAAGACAAAGGGGAAGAATAACAGCACGGCCATCTGACATCTGACGTTTGGTTACAGAGTTGAAACATCTCTCTCTACTCTCTTCTGTCACATTGCTCAAATAAAAGCCTCCCACATTTCCCCCGACATGGAGACTTCTGTTGAGCTGCAGAGAGGCAGAAGCTCACTTATCACTTGCGCTTAAAATAACTCCACCAAAGAAGCGAGAACCAGGAAAGCACACAAACGTGTCTGGTGGAGACAACTCCTCCTACAGTCGAATCTCTCGCTGATTTGCTGGTTTGTCGGCTAGATTGCGTTGGTATTTCAAATCAGGTGTCATCTGCCATTAACTTTCGGTGTAATCAGTCTTAAAGCGGAGCTCGGTGATTTTAATTAGTGTGTGAACATAAAACCCGAGAGCTGGGAAGCTATGGTGTCACGTTGCTGCTCAGAGCTGCCCCATTAACTGTGATTGAGATAACAAGATAATGGCATCTAATTTCTCAGATGTATTGGGAGATGAAGGTAGATTAAAATGAGGTTTAATGTCTTATAAAAATCTTGCACCATAAAAAACAAGGGGGAACGTGTTTATAGATGATTTCCAGCAAGCTTTTGACTTTCTAAAATAGTCCCTTTGGTATGCTTTGCAATTTTCCTCTGAGCTGTACAGTATAGCCGTTGTGCTAACTGTGGTTGATAGACTTGTAGCTTGTAGAGAGGGAGGGGGACAGAAATGCAGTTGGTGTCCTTATTAAGAGAGGCAGGTCTATTGAATATCTGCTAGTAGGAGAGATCAATGGCTTATGGCATTTAATTTTTGCAGCAGGTTTAAGGCAATTGTCTCACACCCCGAGACACTATTAGGTAATCGATCTTTGTTCATTGGACTACACTCTGCAGAAAACAAAAAAAGGCTATTCTGAAAACAAGCGTATAATTGGAGACTAGTCTACGTCAGAGATTAATTAGTTTAACATAAGTATTTGTTTAAAAAGAGCAAATAATGCCCTTTGTATAGTATGTGAGATATTGTGCACTAATATGCATAATGACATATAAGTCTTTGGGCTTAGCAGAGTCTGTAGAAGTTTAATTAAATTGTAATTACATTATGAAAATAGGTCAGAATTAAAAAAAGATTATATGCAAGTCCGCTCTCTTACACACAAACTCCTTTCGCTCACACACACACACACACACACACTTTTTTCTTTCTTTCTTTTAACAGGAATCAGTCCTTTCTAACATTCTCTACCATTTGTCAGTATTGCTAAGCATGAATGTCCTTTTCTGTGATATGGCAATTGTTTTTAACTGTGTGTGTGTGCATGTGTGTATGGGTGTGAGAACGGGAAAGCGAGGAAGCAAAAGAAGGCAGAGAAAGAGAAATATCTCAAGACTTTCCCTCCCGAGACCTAAACCGCCTTGTATCTTGACGTGGGTCTTTCGTTACAATCAGGATCAAGTATTCAACAAGGCTGTGCTGTAAAGCATTTTAATTTGCATGATGGATTAACTGACAATCCCTCCAGAAAAACATCCCTGAAGGATCCTGTGGGCTTTGCACACTTCATAGCCCATGGTCTTTGTGCACAATCGAGATACAGGTGGGAAGAGAGAGATTAGGGCTGTGCTCCGAAATCCGTCTGAGGCAACAAATGGCATTTAATACCGCAGGTCGATGTGTCACGCTGCCAGTCTCCGATAATCAAGCTGTTTTCCTAGTTTTACAATTTGTACATACTGAACTTGTTTATGTCCTAGCACAATAAAAGCCACAACCATCAATCAAAATGATGAATGAAACCAAAGAAATCAAAAACAAGCCACATTTATACCACAGTTAGTTCCAACCTAGTAATTTAATTGGTCAAGAGGCGTTCCATGAGTGCTGGTTTAGAGTATGACATCGCTAAAACATTTAACTATATACAGTACAGGCCAAAAGTTTGGACACACCTTCTCATTCAATGCGTTTTCTTTATTTTCATGACTATTTACATCGTAGATTCTCACTGAAGGCATCAAAACTATGAATGAACACATGTGGAGTTATGTACTTAACAAAAAAAGGTGAAATAACTGAAAACATGTTTTATATTCTAGTTTCTTCAAAATAGCCACCCTTTGCTCTGATTACTGCTTTGCACACTCTTGGCATTCTCTCCATGAGCTTCAAGAGGTAGTCACCTGAAATGGTTTTCCAACAGTCTTGAAGGAGTTCCCAGAGGTGTTTAGCACTTGTTGGCCCCTTTGCCTTCACTCTGCGGTCCAGCTCACCCCAAACCATCTCGATTGGGTTCAGGTCCGGTGACTGTGGAGGCCAGGTCATCTGCCGCAGCACTCCATCACTCTCCTTCTTGGTCAAATAGCCCTTACACAGCCTGGAGGTGTGTTTGGGGTCATTGTCCTGTTGAAAAATAAATGATCGTCCAACTAAACGCAAACCGGATGGGATGGCATGTCGCTGCAGGATGCTGTGGTAGCCATGCTGGTTCAGTGTGCCTTCAATTTTGAATAAATCCCCAACAGTGTCACCAGCAAAACACCCCCACACCATCACACCTCCTCCTCCATGCTTCACAGTGGGAACCAGGCATGTGGAATCCATCCGTTCACCTTTTCTGCGTCTCACAAAGACACGGCGGTTGGAACCAAAGATCTCAAATTTGGACTCATCAGACCAAAGCACAGATTTCCACTGGTCTAATGTCCATTCCTTGTGTTTCTTGGCCCAAACAAATCTCTTCTGCTTGTTGCCTCTCCTTAGCAGTGGTTTCCTAGCAGCTATTTGACCATGAAGGCCTGATTGGCGCAGTCTCCTCTTAACAGTTGTTCTAGAGATGGGTCTGCTGCTAGAACTCTGTGTGGCATTCATCTGGTCTCTGATCTGAGCTGCTGTTAACTTGCGATTTCTGAGGCTGGTGACTGGGATGAACTTATCCTCAGAAGCAGAGGTGACTCTTGGTCTTCCTTTCCTGGGTCGGTCCTCATGTGTGCCAGTTTCGTTGTAGCTCTTGATGGTTTTTGCGACTCCACTTGGGGACACATTTAAAGTTTTTGCAATTTTCCGGACTGACTGACCTTCATTTCTTAAAGTAATGATGGCCACTCGTTTTTCTTTAGTTAGCTGATTGGTTCTTGCCATAATATGAATTTTAACAGTTGTCCAATAGGGCTGTCGGCTGTGTATTAACCTGGCTTCTGCACAACACAACTGATGGTCCCAACCCCATTGATAAAGCAAGAAATTCCACTAATTAACCCTGATAATGCACACCTGTGAAGTGGAAACCATTTCAGGTGACTACCTCTTGAAGCTCATGGAGAGAATGCCAAGAGTGTGCAAAGCAGTAATCAGAGCAAAGGGTGGCTATTTTGAAGAAACTAGAATATAAAACATGTTTTCAGTTATTTCACCTTTTTTTGTTAAGTACATAACTCCACATGTGTTCATTCATAGTTTTGATGCCTTCAGTGAGAATCTACAATGTAAATAGTCATGAAAATAAAGAAAACGCATTGAATGAGAAGGTGTGTCCAAACTTTTGGCCTGTACTGTATGTATCACTCCACTTCCCAGGTTTTCGAAAGCAACATGAACATGTTTTCCCAAATAACAGTGCGTTCAATTATGAATGGTCATCAGAGGAGGACAAAGGTAAGGAGAAGGGCCTAGATACTTTCTCTGCAAACCTCTAGGTACGTTCATATGACAGGGCAGGCACTATGTCAGATTTTTGCTACGAGACTAAAGCTGGCAAAAGAGTTCACGATCGCAATATCAACACAATACCGATCTATAGAAGTCATCTTTAACCTTGCTAATTGACCCTTCGCTAGGTCCCGCCCCTGGACACAGAGTGGCCGATTATAACGTGGCATTGTGTTGGCTCAGACCAGGGTCCGACAACACTGACTCTAATGCAATTGTTTCAGATTTCCTTCATTTTCAGGCTGGTTTTGTGGATTTGGAGCTAAATGTTGTGCCTGGGGCACGTTGTGTATTAATGATACTCGTTACCTGGAGAGGTTGGAAAAAGATATACATTTCTTCCCTGTTCCAAAACCTAAATCAAACCCTGAAAAGTGTAGGGTTATCTAACGTTAGCTAGCTACTGAAGATATAGCCTACTGAATGTATACACATGCTGCTTTTGCTTTTTAATGATTATAACAGTGAAAAAAAGTCCGACCCTGCTGTACAGGAACCAGTGAAGGGAAGCAGGGAAACTTTGCTCATATTCAACAAGCTCTGTGTCATCACATTGTGCGCAGATGAACGTTGTTTGACTTCTCTGTCTGTTCAGCAGCGGATGTCCAGGTGCTGGCAGCGGCACTAGGAGTGAAGCCAAACACTGTTCATCTGCACACACTGCGATGACACACAGCTGGTTCAATATCAGGGAAGTTTCCCTTTATATTCATTGTCTTCTGTGGCGATCAGCAGTGATGTGGTGGTTCACTTTTACACTGTGATCTGTAGCCTATAGTTCGGCTTTAGCTTCTAACTATCTTTGTCTTTTTAACCTGTTGTTGCTGCTGAGTCAGTTTGACATCTTGGATATATCCTTCAAACACAGACTGTAGACCCCTCTGTCTGCTTCACTCTGGAATCTCTTTCATTTTTCCAAAAACATGATAATATTTATTCAGGGAGTGCAGTTGGTTACAGTGTGTCAATCATGTGTTTTGTCTCTTTTTTGGTAAACAAATTACACTCAGAATACGAGTGTAGAGAGGTGGAGGAGAGTCTGTAACCATAACTGCCACAAAATCTCACAAAGAGAGGGAAATAATTTAAGAGTCGCTGGATTATTTACACAGTACAGTCATATGGGTATTATTTATGCTTGTT